TCTTCGACCTTTGCTCAGTTACTTTCCCCCATTCTGGTTGTTTATGATTTATAATAAATTCTCCAAAACTTCCTGGTTCCTAATGATGACTACATACAAATAAATCCACAGGCTGTTTTTTCTCAACTTCCTGGGTCACATCTCATGGTTTAAGTTGAGCCCTGAACTCAAAATTGATTAGTTCGATTTTCAACGGACGGTTTATCTGTTGAAGACAATGGGATGCTTTGTAATGTTAGACTTTTCTTTGAATGCAGTAGCAGCACAAACCACAGCTTTTATGGACGTTTTGTAGAAGTTGTGACATTCAGCAAAGTTGTGTTAGCTATATAGATTCAGGCCTTACCTGGTAAACTGGAAGCGCTGATGTGTCAGAAAACTCAAGGTGAATTCCAACCCAGAGAAGAGATATAGGTATGTGAAGTAAACCAATCCAAGCACCTTAAGATTTTGCATTTCTATTGTGAAGAAAAGTCATCAGAAAAAAAAATTAGTGTGACAGATCATTCGTTATTCAACCTGGTAGTTCAAGACTTCTCGGTTGGGTGAAACTTTATGCTCTCACTTTGTTCAGATGGTGGATTCTCTGTTCTTGTGACGGCAGTGAATTTGAAAAGTGCAACAGGGTGAAGAAGATCTCCAGATTGTTGAATACCTGAAGATTCTGATGCCCTCTGAGTCACGAAAAGCATTCATTACATTTAGAATTAAAGACAATGCTATAAACAATTAAAATGAAGTTGAAGTCTATCCAGAAAGTGATTAAAGTTGCGATGTAATGGAAGTAGCACCAGATCTTTTGTTCCGTAACGTGACGTACATCTGAGTGAAGACGATTAAAATGTAGGGTTGGGATTCGGTTCTATCCATCAGTTGTTGATTGGATAAAGGCAGATCTGAATGCAAGCGTACCAATAAACACACTAATGTATAGCGCAATTGTTTGACTGTTTACCGCACTTTAAGTGGGTCAAACATCAGATGTGAAGTGTCACACTGCACTGTGGCTAATGAATTAAAGTCAAGCACATGCACAGAAAATAGTCTTTTTTTCCAAGAAAAATGAATTTAAAACTAGAATAAAGTTGCTCATATATTGAAACAAATTAGGTTAACTATTTCAAGAAAGTATTATTAGTACTATGAATAGTTTGCATTTTGCAATATGATCAATAAGATATATTTAGAAAATAGATAGGGTGAATTTCCATTTCATGACAAATTTAAATGTTACCATCCCCTGGTTTCACAGACAATGCTTAAGCCTAGTGCCAGACTAAAATGAATTTTTGGGCTGTTTTAGCTGAAAGTAACTTGCATATCTTAAAATATGTCAGTGCTATTGTTTTATTACATATTACTAATACTTACATATTACTAGATATATAATATTACATATTACACCTGTAATATGTTTTTCTAAGGTATGTTTGAAAAAGCTGCTTAAATGTCCTAATTGAACTAAGGCCTAATCCTGACTTAATCTATGCCTTGTCTGTGAAACCAGGCCTATACATATTAAAGCACATTTGAATAATGAGTTCACTGAGAATTACATATTATACATTATATTATTACAATGTACCTGAAATGGCAGATTACATATCCCAAGCATTATTTTAGTCACTAAATTATAGCTAATTATTAAAAGTTATCCTCTGGTTGTTGCATATTGTCACATTGCTGACCTTTTGTAAAGTCTCTGGCAGCATGAAGAAAATAAAAAGAAGGTCTGCTAAAGAAAAAAGGACAGCCAGCATGGCAGGGCCTTGATAAAACACCTCAGCGTCTTTGAGTCTCAGAGCAAAGTATGCTCCCATTAATGGACCCAATGTGAACCCCAAGGAGAAAGCAACACCAATCATTGCCTGACAACAGAAGAAAACAAACTCAATGAATCTTCAAGTGGCTCACAAGTTATAAGGTTAAAAATGTCAAATCTGTCCTGAAAGCATCAATTCATGATGTTAATGACCGTAACTCACCATTCCCTTGTTTCTTGCTTTAGGGCAAGGCAGGTCCGCCACAACAGCAGTGCACAGGCTGACATTTCCTTTACAAATGCCTCCCACCACTCGAGACAGCAGAAACAGAGTAAAACTGTGAGAGAAAGCCCACAGAATGTAGGATGCCATGAGACCTAGCTAAAAAACATGGACAATGTTACTTAGATCTACAAAAGGCATTGAGTCATTGACATACATTAAAGTTAATATGTTTGAATTTCAATCTCTCTTAATTAATACCCTATATCAGAGAATTGGAATGCATTTATTTGATTAATTTTATCAATTCAACCTGGGAGTTGATAAAAAGCACATAATTAAATCAATAATACAAATATATAAATAGATTAGTGCTGTCAAACGATTAAAATATTTAATCGCGATTAATCGCATTAATGTCATAGTTAACTAACACATTTTAATCTATTCTAAATATCTCTTGATTTCTTTTTGTCCCATTATTTTTTCTCATTTTAATGCTCTTATCAACATGGAAATGTGGATCGGCTTGCTTTGTGCAAATGTTTTTTACTGAAAACAACATTGGCATACTGTGTTCAATTTCACACTAACATTCTCACTTGGAGCAAATAATCTCTCACACAATGTAACACTGTCCATCAATAAAAGGGTGAAAGAAATACTGACGAGGTCCTGATATTGACGAGGGGGCGGAGAATTCGCATCAGCTGTGTGTGTGTGTGCTTGGCCATCATCAAGTGGTATTTCAGACTGGACGTGCTGCGATGATGATAGCTCAGTTCACAACGACAAAACACACAGATCACTTTGGTCTTGTCAATGGAACCATTTGGCAACTTTTTAAAAGTAAACTTTCCATTCAGAATCTTATTGGCATCCATTTCGGCGTCTCGTGCTCGTCATCCACTCAAAGCGTAACGTTAACCTACTATTTGGCCGGCTCGCAAGCCCAAACAAGTGTGTGCGGCGTGCCTGTTGTTTTGTTTCCGGTCTAGCTAGATCCGCGTCCTCGCACATGCCGCGTCCTGTCGCAAAAGCATGTGAAAAAAACTACAAAGTTTGCAAGGCCAAAAAGACCGTTAATCGCACGATAAAAAATTTTACGCCGTTAAAATGAGTTTGCGTTAACGGCGTTAATAACGCGTTTAACTGACAGCCCTAAAATAGATATTTTTTTATTCGTTTACCTGCAGGTCATATGATGATTAAACAACACGGGAACCGTGAACATGTGAATGTGTTGTTAAATTATGGAAATATTAACTTAAAATCTCAGGGGCTACTTCCAGGTAAATATTTTAGGTTTGACTTACAAAAAAAGTTTGGGAATCCCTGCCCTATATGATCTAAATTTGTCAGTATGGTCTATACTTACAGTTGTTAACAGGAGCATTGGTTTTCTTCCATAATCATCTGAAAGAGCCCCAATAATGGGTGATGACAGAAATTGTAGTAAAGAGTAGAGAGAGCCTATCAGACCTAAGACACCAAAGAAGATAATCAATGTACATGTCCTCAATTCAAAAGGTCAGTTCGAATAATGTGCTGCATTTAAAGAAACCCTCAATATCAGCCAGAGTAGGCTATTGAAGTTACCTCCAAAAAGAACACTGTTATATTTTGTGTCCATAGGAACTCCAACTGCCCCTCTGAACCAGTCCACTACGCTCTGTAAAGACTGATAAACACCGTCCTGTAGAAAACACAGGAAAAAAGTGATGCAGAGATTACAACATCAAAATCATATGCGAAAGCCATTTTATACACATTGCAACTGTTACTGAATCTTATATCAAGACACATTTACTTGAGCAGGAAAATGACTTAAGATATTAAGTCTTGTTTTCTTAAACATTTTTCCAAATTAAGTGAATTTGTGCTTAAAACAGGAAAAAAATCTGTCAGTATGGTAAGAAATGTTTTTTCCCTATTTAAAATAAGTGCATTTTACCCCACTCATTCTTACCCTACTGCCATATATTTTTCATCTAATTTTTTTAAATAAGTCATTTTGCGTCTCAAGTAAATATATCTTGATTTAAGAATGTTTAGATATATTTGTACAAGAAAACAAGAAAAAAATACATTTCAGTTCACATTTTATGTTCCTATTCAACGGCTGCTTTTTCCCATTCAGTGGGGGAAAATGTCTCCAAGTAAAACATTTTACACATAACACATTAATTGGAATAGTTCAATGAGAGCCTGCTACATGAAAAGGTGAATGAAGCCATTGTCAGCGTCATTTGATAAGAAAGAACAGCTCTGACCTTGGAGGCTTTCCACAGACTAAACTATTTAATATTATAAAGTTCATTAATTCAGTATACAATAACTTAAGTCATCGCTGAATTTTGTACTGGAAATGCTCTGTTTCTTCAAAAGTTATAAGAGGGGGAAACATGTCCCGACTGGAATGCATTATGCACCGTCACACAGTCTACAGTTACATGCATGACTAATCTAGGTCAAATTACAGCAGCATTTCTTTTTGAATAGAAAGCCAGCCAAACACCTAATTTTGAGATTTTATAACAACAATATATCCAAATGATGATCTCACCCCAGTTTGACTGTAGTGGTCCAAGATGGAAGGGAGCAGTGGAAGTATTAATGTGAAACCCAGCAAGTCAAGCAGCAGTGCCAAGAAAACCATCCTGATGACTCTGGAAGAGTGAACGTCCTCTGATGTAGTTTTGTCACCTGCCATTTCTCCACTCTGGTTGTTTTTCTTTACAGCCGAGAAATCTTAAAGCATCTCCTGTGGTCACTGAACTGAATCACTGAACAAAAACCAAACAATGAACAACAGTATGTACTCCATTTTTTTTTTTTTAAACTAAAGTACCAATAAGTGCACTGGTATGGTAAAGTTTTTTTTTGGACATGATGGTACCATATGTTTTTGGCTATTCTTCAAAGTCATGCAAATATAATTTACAAATCATTCCGTCAGTACCATGGAATATATATATATATATATATATATACACTCACCGGCCACTTTATTAGGTACCCCATGCTAGTAACGGGTTGGACCCCCTTTTGCCTTCAGAACTGCCTCAATTCTTCGTGGCATAGATTCAACAAGGTGCTGGAAGCATTCCTCAGGGACTTTGGTCCATATTGACATGATGGCATCACACAGTTGCCGCAGATTTGTCGGCTGCACATCCATGATGCGAATCTCCCGTTCCACCACATCCCAAAGATGCTCTATTGGATTGAGATCTGGTGACTGTGGAGGCCATTTTAGTACAGTGAACTCATTGTCATGTTCAAGAAAACCAATTTGAAATGATTCGAGCTTTGTGCCATGGTGCATTATCCTGCTGGAAGTAGCCATCAGAGGATGGGTACATGGTGGCCATAAAGGGATGGACATGGTCAGAAACAATGCTCAGGTCGGCCGTGGCATTTAAACGATGCCCAATTGGCACTAAGGGGCCTAAAGTGTGCCAAGAAAACATCCCCCACACCATTACACCACCACCACCAGCCTGCTCAGTGGTAACAAGGCATGATGGATCCATGTTCTCATTCTGTTTACGCCAAATTCTGACTCTACCTTCTGAATGTCTCAACAGAAATCGAGACTCATCAGACCAGGCAACATTTTTCCAGTCTTCAACTGTCCAATTTTGGTGAGCTCTTGCAAATTGTAGCCTCTTTTTCCTATTTGTAGTGGAGATGAGTGGTACCCGGTGGGGTCTTCTGCTGTTGTAGCCCATCTGCCTCAAAGTTCGACGTACTGTGCGTTCAGAGATGCTCTTCTGCCCACCTTGGTTGTAACGGGTGGTTATTTGAGTCACTGTTGCCCTTCTATCAGCTCGAACCAGTCTGGCCATTCTCCTCTGACCTCTGGCATCAACAAGGCATTTCCGCCCACAGAACTGCCGCTCACTGGATGTTTTTTCTTTTTCGGACCATTCTCTGTAAACCCTAGAGATGGTTGTGCGTGAAAATCCCAGTAGATTAGCAGTTTCTGAAATACTCAGACCAGCCCTTCTGGCACCAACAATCATGCCACGTTCAAAGTCACTCAAATCACCTTTCTTCCCCATACTGATGCTCGGTTTGAACTGCAGGAGATTGTCTTGACCATGTCTACATGCCTAAATGCACTGAGTTGCCGCCATGTGATTGGCTGCTTAGAAATTAAGTGTTAACGAGCAGTTGGACAGGTGTACCTAATAAAGTGGCCGGTGAGTGTATATATATATATATATATGAATACCTTGGTATTGTAGTTTAATACCATCACTGCACCATATTGTATGACCACTTTACATTTTAGGATATTATATATATGTATAATATCCTATATTTGGTGACCTTAGTACAGTGTAATTGCACAAATAAGTACTTAGTAGGGTTAAGGTTTGGTTGTAATTAATTATGCATTATTTACTGTTACTAGTATACATGTAACATGTGTAACAAGGACACGGAAAAGATAAGTGTTACCAAAAAGCAATTAACAAATATTTCAGTGTTCTTGTTGTTATTGCAAAAATAAGTACTGGATAATATTAACTGACAACACGTACTGTACTGACTTTAGAGTTAGTGTTTGGTTTATGGTTAGTTGCTTGCTTGTAATTATGCATAATTTAGTGTCACTACTAGAGTAAGTACCCATGTAACACGTGTAATAAGGAAACTGTAAAATAAAGTTTTATCAAAAAGCATTTGATAAATATTTCAGTGTTCTTGTTGTAATTGCACAGAAGAGTACTGGCTAATGTTAATTGACAGCACGTACTTACTTTAGGGTTAGGGTCTGGTTAGCAGTTAGTTGCTTGTAATTATGCATAATTTACTGTTACTAGACTACGTGTAACAAGGATACTGTAAAATCAAGTGTTGCCAAAAATTGTTAAATATTATTTCAATTGATCTTAATTAATCGAGGGTTGATTTCAAAAACAACTTGCAATAACTTATTAAAAATTCCAAAACTCTAACATTCACCATGCACAGGTCATAAACTCGCGCCGTCCATTCATATTTCACTCCAGTCTGCTTCTGCTTGAGAGTCCCCGGGAAAACAGTTGTCAAATCAACTCTAATATATTCTAAGAGACTTGGCAGTTTGTAACTCATTTAAGTCGGATATTTTCTTCGTTTAACCTAGACGGTAACAGTTCACTTGATATCTTACCTTGAGCTCGCAGTGCGCAATCAAAGTTCCCAGAAGATGCTGCTACTTCCCCACACACTCCCCCATCATGAACACACACCAGGAAGCGCGAGCGCGGTGTCTCATTTCACCAGCTACGACAACCGTGACGTGTAGTGGGATGAGCACGAGCAATACAGCTGATTTCTGTTAAGTCAATTTAATGAATGCATAAAAAGTGTGCAAACATTTACAAATGAGAGCTTGCCACACAATATAGATTCATGCAGACTGTATTACTTTGGAACAACGTTGAGACGTGTAATAATGTAAGCTACTGTAACTAAGCATGATGTGTTCCTCATCTGTCTGATCTGTCAGAACAGATGATCATTGGACATGCATTATCAATGAAAATAATACAAATCAATAAATTAATCATTCCTCTCAAAAATGTTTTAATTTATTTGTTCAGTTCAATTTTCAACATTGTAATGGTTTCCAAAGACCACGAGAGGGAGTTTATTGATAATGTTTACAACAGATTGGCCGGTAGGATTTCAAAATGACGTAAGTCAGTCAAAATATTATTTTAAATAGTATGATTAGGGTCTAGCTGCCTCTGGATAGAGAGAATGAGCATTTATACATAAACTAGAGTTGAGTGATATTTTGTTTGTTTGTTGAGAAAGCACTGTCATTTTATTTTCTAAACCTTTCACCATTTAGATGAATATGACAATGTTAAATAACAGTTAAAAACGATCAGTTCACCACACAAGCATTTTTGTCTCTACATAAATGGGTCATTTTTGGTCATTTTTATTGGTTTGCCTGATAGTAACCAATTGATGTATTTATATTAGCTTGTGTGCTTGCATAGCAAAACCATTATGGACAGCGTCATACTTACATGACAATTTAATTAGAATGAAACGGATTGGTTTGGTTGAAGTAGTCTAACTTTTTATTAAATCATATTTTATGATGTTTTCAAATGTTTAATAGCATATTGACTATGATATTTCTTTAAATGTCATCTTAAATTGGCGCTCGCAAATACTGAATAATAACATGAAAGACAACAAGTAGCACATGAAAAAAAAATTAAACCACCAAGCAGGCGGAACTATACAGAAAACAAACGTTTCAGGAGGAACACGAAATTGGCGCACACCACCATGATGTAAAGGACTTCAAAAATTGTTCAACTGTCACATAGCATAGAGCTGTAAGTTAAATATGTCCAATATAAATTAATGATTTAAAAACGTTTTAACAGGGAAACATCATTGACATGATCTATCATTTTCCCAGTGGTATGACATATTATGCTTGCTGCTCTTTGTAACACCTTTGTTTGATCAATCGGGGACATTTCAGTGGGAAGAGTGTAACATAAGGAGCGCAGTATTTAAAATCTTAAAATTATATTCAGTTTGATTACACTTACAGAATACTGGCACACATTTTTACAAGAAAAAGCCTTATTTTCACTCAACTTGGCATTTTCATGACTCGTCAGTAATCTGTACTGAATACGGTGTATTGTGTTCTCTGCTGTTTGTATTGTCAGGTTTATTGTTCCCGAAGAGGTCCCTCATTTACACATGAATGCAAGTAGACAATGAAAGAAGCACCTCACTACTTTGCAGCCGTGACATCTCTTACTAAAAGTCGGTCATGACAGCTCAACAGACAAAATGATGTGCACCAGACTACTGACACTGCTTAAGTCACATGCAGTGAAGAGGAATCTGCCACAGATCTGTTCTGCCCGTTTTTCAAGCCTCAGAAGACACCATGAAAACATCATCACAGACTTCTGTCAGCCTGGATCCTGCTTTAACAAAAGTGATGATCACAAACAGAGAATATGGTCTCCTTCACTGGCAGGTCACAACTACGGAAAAAGGTTTTTCAGCCTCACGCCTGCTGGGATTGTCAATGCAGCTCCAGCGTCTGTACAGCCGTACCTCAGATTAATGAGACTGGACAAACCCATAGGTGAGCTCATGTCAAACGACACATTACCCAGGAAGCTCAAACATTATCTGTGTTTCATTATAATATTAATGAAGTGTTCTTGTAGGAACGTGGCTACTGTATCTGCCTTGTACGTGGAGTATTGGGCTGGCGGCAGACCCGGGATGCCTTCCTGATCTACGCATGCTTGTGCTGTTTGGTGTCGGAGCTTTGCTTATGAGAGGAGCTGGATGCACTATCAATGACATGTGGGATAAAGACTTTGACAGGAAGGTATGAGTACATGAATTTAAAATCGACATGAAATGGAAGTTGCGATAGACTTTTCTTCCCTATTTTGACATATATCCGAGTGAAACAGCTTCTCGAACAAGAAAAAATGTAGGGCTGGACCTGATTTTTTGCCACTGGGAATTAATTGGACCTTTGGATCATTGCGGTTTGCTTTTTTGCTGTGATCTCATGTGAGTGACAGGTTGTCCTGCCCTCGTGCCAGTAAATGCGTCGTCAGAGAAGAGATATTAACCCTCTGGGGACCAGAAACGCGCCCGCGCGTTTTGCCGTTTTTTTTTCACATAGCAGAAAAATAGACTTAAAATACTCTGTTGATTTTGATCGTACATATAAGTGTTATACATCAATCGATCCTGTTAATTGTCTATTATTTTTCTGTATACTCACAATAAAAACAAAGTTTTGTGCTTTTTGTCAAATAAAGAAAAATAAACATGATGCGAGTTTTGCCTTCTCTCTGTCAGTGCAGTCCATTCTGAAACACGTCCGAAAAATTAACTCTAACTCTGCAAATACTTGTCATACAGGCACGAGAGGTTTTTCTTTATGAAGCTTGAATTCTCTTCTTTTTAATGATGTAATTTATATAAAAAACAAATATTCTCAGTTTATGTAATCTGTATGAAAAGAGAGTGCTGTCAGATTTTTTTCCCCCAGCTCATTACACTTCATTACGCGTTAATCTGACACGCCCACGGAGGACGCGCGCTATTCAAACGCAAATGTCGAGGCAAGCCATGACAATGCCCACATCAGCCGTTCCACCGCGGCGGTAAAATGTGGGGTGTATTTGCTGCCTTTTACCGCCAAGAGGCGCTACAATCATAGACTCTGAAAAGTGTTTGTTTATTCTCTCTAATGCGTAATCTGCTGCCGCACCGCACTGATTCAGAGCGTTTGAAAGCTGGTAGCAGATGAATTCAACAAGTGAAACGTAGTTAAAATAATTCATAATCACAATACTGAAATTAGGCTACTGAAATGAAATTGAATAAATAATGAAAAAGTAAAACATTGCAATAAAAACAGTCACAGACGTATAGACGATAGCTCAGTGGTTAACGCAACAACACGAGCTTCGAGGAGCTTCAATCGACTCGGATCGAATCTCAATGTAGCATACATGTTGTTAACCGATGTTGGCCAACAGCGTTTATATTTTACCTTCTTGATGCTTAAATAGCTAACTGTTTATAACTGTTTACTTATTTAAAGTCAAGAGTTTTGTTTAATTATTATTACAACATAAATTTGCTACATTCCTGGAACCGCAGCCGCTGCACAAAGGACAAAAACTGATGAAGGAAGATTGTCAGCCGATTGCATCAGAAAATGAAAATGAAGAAGCACGTCTTTAGTCTGCTAAATTATTGTGTAATGTAAAAGAACACTAAAATTACTTAAGTTTGAAACCAAGTTCGAACATTTCAAGGTTTAAATAAAGTGTCGGGACAGTTTTTTTTATTTAAAACAGGGTTGCATCGGGTTTAGAGTTTATTTCTTTTGCGATGCAAAATAAGAAACACTAGAGCCGCGTTTCCACCGCAATTGCCCGGAACAATTTGTCCCAGGAACTTTTTTCCCAGGAACTTTTTTTTGCCCCAGACCGGTAGCTTTCTGCGTTTACATCGCGGTCTAAAGTACCGGGTAAACTGCGCGCGACTGCTCATTGCTTGCTTGTGACGGACAGTAGACTGTAAAAGACAGTAATCAGTTTTGAGCGCCACATTTATAATAAATATGGAAGAGATTCACACTGTGCTGCAGTTGTTTGAGATGTATTGGTTTACTAACCAGGTAATTAACAAAACGGCAGAAAAGAGACGAGCACTGATACTAAAGCGTGTTCAGAAAGCTCGTAATGCTAACGTTAGATCTAAAATTAGACAGCGTATGTTATCAGCTATTGCGGACATTGACCGTGAGAAGGCTGGGACGAACGCGCAGAAAATTTCTCTTCCGCAAATACGCTTAATAAAGCCTGAATCTCGTCGTCGGTCCAGCTGCCTTTTTTATTTTTATTAAATTCCATATTTGCAGACAGACAACTCTTACTGCATGGAACTTCATTACTGCATGAAGCCACGAACTGCAATAGATTCTAAAAATTCCGGTTAAAAATAAAATGCTGCGCGGAGTTATCCAATCATAATGCGGCGTGAACACAACCAATCAGCATGTTCAGCGCACAAGCCCCACCCGCGAAAGTTCCTGAACTTTGAAAAAGTACTACCTCGCGAGCAGGGACTTTCGGAGGGGGAAATATCTACCCGGAACTTCATTTAGACCCTGGTTCCTGCGGTGTAAACACACCGAGTACCAGGCCAAAGTTCCTAGTTCCTGGGTAAAGTTCCTGCGGTGGAAACGCGGCTTAGGCTAATCTTATTCTTGCGACATTTTAAATTTGTATTGCCAAAGAAATGACAGCTATATTAAACAATTAAAACAGTAGGCCTACAAAACGAAAATTGTCCAAAGCAACATAATTAAATTAAAACATGCGTTTTTCTTTGCCTCTCTCGCGCTGAATCTCTTTTTAACAAGTTTATTTAGTCTCCCTCGCTCTCCATATGAAAGAGGAACATTAACACCTAGGCCTATTGTCCTGCGCGCTCGATACAGCACTGAACTGTCCCTCCAACCCCCCACCGGCTATTGGAGTCTGAGGCTGATTTAACACAAAGAGAAGTCACAATTCACACTTAAATCGCTATTCTAGACAGTGTTGATAATGAAGGAATTAAATGATTTAAGTTACATGTAGCCTAGTGATATTTCTGTCATAAAAGCTTATTACTAAATATTTAATTATTTCAGTAATTGATGAAATAAAACTGGTTTGGGCCAGCTTTTTCCAAGCAAAACTAAATATAATCTGAAAAAACGCATGTTAATTTGTTTTCATGAACAAAATGTTCAACTCAATATTAAAGTCTACAGGGATCTTTGGATCCTTTCAACCAGGCATGCAATTTGTGAATTAAGTTTTTTTATTTTTTTTTTTTATTCAAATAAATATCGAACCACGGTGCTTCGTGGTAATGCTGCTAAATTAAATAACATGTATTGAATAATTATGAACTTAAATGAAACAATATCGCAACATTTCGACAAATGCATTATTTGATCTGTTTTTACATTTTAATTCAGGGCGATTTAGCCTGCTACATTTAATTAGAGCGAGATTTTCACCCTTGTCTTGTCATTTTCTCATTGGGAAGCGCTTACAGGCTACATGTTTGAGTACATCCTCTGTACCTCTCGTTTTCATATGGATTACATAATCAGATAACATTTATTAGCCAGAATATTTAGACATTTAAAGGCTTTAGACAGAGCCGATTTCTTATAGTGACTGAGCTGAAGTGGCTTTCGGTTCATTTTTGTGACGCGCAGTTCCCGGAGACAGAGACGACAGATAAACTGTTTTTGTCGTTAGCAAAAGTTCGAATAAAACCCGACTTTAGAAAAATGCATAGGGCCACTCGGCGTGGTCTGCCAAAACACTTAATTATAAACTTCAATATTTCATTCAAAATAATCTCAAAACGCTTTGTGAAATTTTAAAAACCGGGCATGCATTAAGGCCACTTGAACTAATGAACAACTGAAACGCTGGTTTTGATTTTATTGTTTGTCGTTGTTTAAACGTGCTTGTTGCATATCTCTATTTTATATTTGATATGGTCTATTGGTGAAGTAGCCTATAGCATTGATTAGCTGTGGAGGGAGGGGTGTGGGGATTCAAATAATTCAGCAGAAGCAGGGATGTTTAGACCAGAAGGAAATCCCCGTCCCTCCTGGCAAATCACACTTTACTTAAAACCATGTTTTTAAAAACTCTAGGTTGTAGGGAATCAAAATAATAATAATAATAGGCCTAATAAAAAAAATAAAAAAAAATATATATAGGCTATATATGTAAAATTACTTTTTTTACAGAACTGCTTTTGAAATTATGATTGGTAGCCTCGTACGATTGGTACAGATGCAACGTCGTTCTGTTCGATAGTGTAAAATGGAAATGCATGGTAATTTTATTTTATAAATATAACCAAAAAACTGTATGGTGTAACAGAGTTTTAGAGCTAGACAAATCTCTCTGCATTAA